TAATAATAATAATAATAATAATAATAATAATAATAATAATAATAATAATAATAATAATAATAATAATAATAATAATAATAATAATAATAATAATAATAATAATAATAATAATAATAATTAATAATAATAATAATGATAATGATAATAATGATAATAATGATAATAATGATAATAATGATAATAATGATAATGATAATAATGATAATAATAATAATGATAATAATGATAATAATAATAATAATAATAATAATAGTAATAGTAATAATAAATTAAATAAATAAATAATAACAATAATCACTTCTTTACCATTATCTTCTTCATAATACTTATATCTGTATTCATCATCATTATCGTTATCAGTATTATTATCGCCATTATTATCACAATCATCGTTATTATTGTCACTATTATCACAATCATTTAATTTTATCTCAAATCTTCATCATCAGTTTGTCATTTTTCATCGTTAACAATAATTCTTACCTCAGTCTGTTTGCGCATCATTACTGCTATCTTATTCTTTCTCAACCATTGTTTGTCAAAAAAAAGAAAAGAAAAGAATCTTGAGTGGTTGTTACTGACATATTGTCAACGATAATTGATAGTAATTTAGTTAAGAAAGTGATGGACAGAACTGATCGATGAAAAAGTGCAGGAAAAGCGGAGAATGAGAGAGGAAAGAACTAAAATGCAAATTCTAAAATTTATTCATTATGCAAATTATTTAACCTTAATTTGACATTTACCAAATATCTTATTTGAAATATTTCTTGCATTCTTCAAGATATATATTTGAATAATTCTTTAAATGAAGTTAAAGTTTTTTTTTTTTTTGAAAGTTGATAATTTGATGAATTAACTTGTCCTTATGAATTTATATTTAGGATGAAATTAGGTAAGATTGGTTAGTACCAGAATTTCATCCGTATTGTTAAAATATATTATTTCTGGAATTGCTTTTCTGGAAATCAAATTTCGGTTCCGGATTGTTAATATATGCAAGTTGTACTATTACTGATCATGATGATAAACTTCTGGTACTATTCAGGGTTAAGCATGATATATTTACTTAACCATTTTATAAATGTTTCAAAATTTCAATGTCTCTATGCTATCCTCTTCTAGGCTTATTTCATTTATAGCCTAAATTGTCTGGCAAATGAATTTAAAAAATCATTTAATTTGCAATCTAGATTATCACTAATTAATTCTTAATTAGAAATGTAAAATTTGTTGCTAATTTGTTCCCACAATATCTGTCATCATGGATTTGATGAAAGATTTACCGACAAAATAGTATGTGATGATTAGGCGAGATGAAAATCCTTACCATGCCATAAAATGAACAAAGCGAACAGTCAACCAAAACGAGGTCATTTTCTTCTTTACATTTATGAATGGGAAAAGAAAGAGGGTGGACATTTAGAAGGGCGGTCATTAATGAAGAACTGGACTGAATGTTGCTATGTCCACTCTAATTGCAATAGCTTAAAATTTCCGCTTATTCTGTGAGTGTAATGCTTTCCAATTTCTTCATATGATTATTTGAGTTTTATTTTAAGGCTTTCAAGCTAATACGTTTCTAATAATTCTAATTCCAAAAGCGTTGCTAAAGATAATAATTAATTAGCAATTAGTTCACTTCATCCAATATCTTTCATTTTTCTAATAAAATTACTATAATAATTGAGCCTGAAAAAAAAAAAATTCAAAAATATCCGTTCATTATTATGCAAATTAATTCATTATCTTTTATGAATGAATTTAATTAATTTTGTACCTTTGTAATTAATATCTTTTCAAAATATTATTTTCTTCCATATGTTCAACATCACTTTCATTATTTTCAAAAAAAAAAGGTAAAATTCAACTGGAACTTTATAATTCAACAAATAGTATAAGAAATATGTGACAAATCTAAAATAATATATTCAAAATAATAAAGAATGAGGAACTTGAACTTAAATTAGACTAGATTAGATTAGACTAAACTAGGCTAGACTAGGCTAGAAATAGAGGAAGAAACTAGGAAAAGATAACTGAATCTGACTTCTTTTTTTTTCTTTTTTTTTGTTCTCTGACAATTCTTAAATTCGATTTGCTTTTTCATTGAGGCCTTTCTTTCTTTTTCTTTTTTTTTTTCATCCTGTCCTTTGGGACCGATGGATTTTCTTAAGGAAATCTTTTTGGTATAATTCAAAGATCGAACTGCCACTAAGAACATTTCATGTCACCATTCAATACAGACACACATACACAGACATACAGGCACATACACACACACACACACACATATACATACGTACATCTCTGTGTATGTAAATGTTGGTGCCATGCTGTACCTATATAAGAGATGCAATCGGCGAAGTAATTATATGTCTGTCTAATCTGTCTGTCTATCTGTTGGTTTGTGTCTGTTCATGTCTTTTCAATATTAAAAAAAAAAAAAAAGAAAAATAAAGAAA